GCTGCTTAACTTGAAGACTAGACAATACTTAAAATGGAAGTATTATCAGTTATTAGAGTGGCAAAAGATATATGTTGGCAGCAAAAGTAGATCTACTTAAATGGCTGGCTAACTGCTCTCTTAGAAGATTTTGCTATTTTAAACAATGGCAAAGAATGAAGAAAGGCAGGGCAGTGCCCAATTCATGTTGAAATGATCAGCTTAGGGAGTATGACCCAATATTTGTATAGCATCAAAGCTATCACAAAAGTGATACTGTACAAATTTCAAGTGACATTTTATTTTGCAATCAGCTACTTAACACACCAGGTAAATAGGTTCTGAATGTAATCCTTAGTCAATTTATTAATTCTCTATTCTGAAAAGTACTGGTCCTTACGTTTTTGGTGAACTGACATCTATAATATTTAACAAAAAGAAAAGTAACCAATGTGTTTAGAGTTTAAAGAGGGCAAGAGGTAAATAAAGAAATCTGAACCACAGGCAGGGCAGGGCGCCTTTAGGTTACGGTCAGATTGTGGAGTAAAAGCAATAGGAAGTCATGAACAAAATATTACATCAAAATCTGTTAGTTGGTAGTTTCTTAAAAATTGTTACAATATGGAATCTGAGACTGCATCAACAAACTGTCTATACTCTATTACATTAATACCCATTGTTCTATCTTGCACTTTGAATGAATCTTTTACACTTGATTTTGTAATATGCAAGCATTGGTCATTTGGAAAAAATTGGTTCACTGAGTATATACATCTCCCAAAATGTTAAAATATTCCATTACGCACAATATTTTATAAAAATCACATTTGTTAAAATCATAACTGATCTAATCGGAAATTCTTTAAGTACTGGTATGTTGTCAAGCTCATGGTTATTTTTGAGAAAATGTCTGCAAATATCCAAGTCTGAATAGCCAGTTATCCTTTCAAGTAAAAGTGAACATAATGAAGCTGCTAATCCAGCTTGCAACTTAATTGTACAAGTGTTTTTTCAGTACCCAGCACACTTTATACATACTTCCCATTTCATCATATAGGATAATTAAAAAGCATGCATTCAAAGGTCAAGATTTATAAAACTAATAATTATTTTCAATGCATCATCAAGGACACTATTAAGTGAAACTGGTATTTATTTATTTTTACTACAAGTGGATTGCAGTAAAGAAAACCACTATTAGTAGTTTGATGTCACTGCCTTGATTTGTGCTGAGTCAGCAGTTTCTTTGCACCATTAGTGCAAATATTAAGACAATAAATAAGGCAAATAATGTCTAAATTATTATAAAAATAGTTTTGTTTTCTGTGACCCCTTCTCAGGATTCCACAGACCACATTTAGAACTGCTGCCTCAGGAAGATTGAGGTGTATTACTTACTAGCTTATGATCCTGGGCAATTCACTAACCTTTTTAATGAGCCGTATAAAAAAATAATTATCCCCCATCAAGTTGTTAATCAGCGTTAAGACAGATGAAAGCATTTTGTACACCATCATAAAAATGTAAGAGCTCATTGATACATATAATGAATGATATCAGTATTTTAGTAGATACCACTGACATTATCCTGAACAACCTTATGGAGACCACATTTTATATGGTTTTTGCTTCTGCTGTTTCTGCTTCTAGCAATCTTTACACTTTTATCTTAATTCAGACTCTTACAAGCATAGATGTAAGAATAATTTGTTACTCATATATACATCTTAATGCACCCAAAATCTGTATGTAAGATTATCTATCCCCACTCCACCCTGAGCAGTCAAAGTTGTCTAGGTCTTTCCCTGGAGTATGTCTGAATATGTTCTTTGGATTCAGCTGAATAATGCCTGATTGTGTTCATTTATTTCTCTCTCCTGCCAAAATTGGTCTTATCCCTTATACTTACTGAAATACCATCCCCATCCTTAAGAATCCAATTAGTCAATCTTCTGGATACAGATAGGATAATCTAACTCCTCTAAATACCTGACACTCAGTGCCTTGTTACCTGATCTCTCTCTTGTGCTTGTTCTTCCTTAATTAGACAGTAATCTCTCTGAGGGTAAATATATCTTACATTTCTCTTTATTCCCCTTCAGCATCTAATAGCATAGCTCGTTCAGCCTGGATCATGGCCCTATGTGTACTCTGCTAGTATCAATGAAGCATCGACCTGACCTTCATATCCAAATAAAGACCTTTACAGAGCCAAAATCTGTAACTCTTGTCATATTAATTTTCAGACAATGTTTTATCTATGAACCTCACTCAACTGATAGGACAAGTTGTTCACTGTAACAGCTTAGAGTGCAATTACTTACTGCCTGGGCAAATTGTACTCCTCAAAGTGCCCAAGGTGTGGCTCTGAGAGAAAAACAAATACACAATAATGTATATTAAGATAAATAAGTAGATTTAAGATAATGTTTGTTTACAAAGAAAATTAAGAAGTCTAAAAATATCCCTTATTTCAAACACACAAAAATACAGTGCATTAGCATAAAAAACTACCTGAAACGAGTCTTACTTGGACTGAACCAAGTTAAAAAGCATAAATTCAAGATGCAAGTTATTCAAGAGAAACACTAGCCGTGAGTTGCAGCATTTATTATGCAAAAAATGAAGAAAATAGGCAACAAACCCAAAGTAGAAGCTTTGTACTGAAAGAGCAACAGCAATTGAGAGGAGGTACTGTCAAATGATTAAAAAGTGCATATCAGAATGAGTGGGATTCAAATCTTACTTCAGAAACTGTATGAAATTAGTGAAACCACAAAATCCTTCTATGCTTTAGAGCCCTTCCCTACAAAATGGGCCGTTATTATCTACCTAATAGGTTGTGGATCAGAAATAATACAGAGCAATAAAGAGCACAGAAATCTATGTCACAACAGAAATCTAACACAATACCAAAGGAAAATTTTGCTAAGCTTTTTATCCCAGAAATGCACTATTAACAAACTTTTGTTTCCAAATAAGAGGTGTATTACAATCTGGACCTTTGTAGTCAGATGGGTCTGGGTTAGAACAGACTATACTTTTATTAGCTTAGGCCCTAAGGGGTCCTCAAACTTTTTAAAGTGGGGGCCAGATCACGGTCCCTCAGAGAGCTGGAGGGCCGGACTATATGAACTACTAATTCCTACTGTAACACCTCGGCTGCGCTCACTGCCCAAAAAACCTGGCAGGCCGGATCAGACTCCTCTGCGGGCCGCATGTGGCCCTCGGGCCGTAGTTTGAAGACGCCTGGTGAGTAATTTAAACCTCAGCTGTCTTTTTTGTAAGATAGGTGTAATACTGCCGCCTCAATGCTCTTGTGAGGATAAATAAAGCAATGTATATAACTATTCTATACAGTCTTTTTTTTTTAAAAAAAGTATATTTTATTGATTTTTTTTACAGAGAGGAAGGGAGAGAGATAGAGAGTTAGAAACATGGAAGAGAGAGAAACATTGATCAGCTGCCTCCCGCACAACCCCCACTGGGGATGTGCCTGCAACCAACGTACATGCCCTTGACCGGAATCGAACCTGGAACCTTTCAGTCCACAGGCTGACACTCTATCCACTGAGCCAAACCGGTTTCGGCTCTATACAGTCTTAAAAGTACACCCAATAAATGCTCAATAACTTGTCCCTACCAGATATATGTAAATACTAGAGGCCTGATGCATGAAGATTTGTGCAAAATGGGCCTTCCTTACCCTCACTGCTGGCACCGCCTTCACTCTGGCCGGAGCCACCTTTCTGCCTTCCCACACTGCCCAGAGGCCCCAAGCAGCTGAGGGCAGTGTGGAACACCTGCTTTGTCACCATGGTGCTTGGTGCTTGCGTATGCAAATTAACCCACCATCTTTGTTGAGTTAATTTGCATACTCAAACTGGTCTTACAGCTGATACACCCAATCTATATATGATTAGTCAATCAGAGTTAAATGCTAGTTCATTAATTAGTCCAATTACAAATTTTCTAGAATAATTCAGAGAACGAAAGCAGGGATAAATATTAAATGTTTGCTAGTAAAGAGAAAGCCCAGAAACAAGGAAACACTAAATGAGAGGATAATTCCATATTAAAACATATAAACTATTCACAGTATAAAGTCACAATCCCTAAATTGTATGCTGATTTGTTAATATAGTCATTTACTATTTATTTTTCTCCCAAAGACAAAGTCAGACATAAATGTAATTCTTCCCCACAACTACTCTCCATATTAAGCCATCCTACCTGCAGCTATCTTAGCCCTTGGCCAATTTCATTAGGTTACAGGGGAAGAATTGATTTCATCAGTTCTTCAGTTATTTTGAAAATGCAAACATTAAGAAACTGTAGCAAATATTTCATTTCACTGTGCTACAGAGCTGGAGCTGCACCCTGGTTCTAAGAAATCAGTCACCTATCTGTGTGCCTGTTTTTGTTTTTCTGAGAAGGAGTTATGCACGTACAGGGTTAATAAAAAATGGAGAAGGGAAGTAACAAAAGGAATTAAAAGGTCTTTCTTCCACAGCAGAAGGAAACACTGTTATCAGTTTCTTGTATATTTTGCCCATTCACAAACTAAATTAAGTCAAATAAAATGGTCAGTCCTAACACTGGCAAGTGGAAAAGAAATAAAATCCCAGGATTTGTTAGATTGTTTTATTTGAAAACTTAGGGGTGCACATCCAAAGATTTTAATAATAACCTGAGTACAGAGCCTTTCCTTCTGTTAAAAAAGTCAAACTATGTCACAACAGAAATCTAACACAATACCAAAGGAAAATTTTGCTAAGCTTTTTATTCCAGAAATGCACTATTAACAAAAGTAATACAATTTTGTTTTCACATAAGAGGTATATTACATATCTGGAACCTTCATCACCTATCCATCGCTTTGATAAATTTAGATCTTCAGTTTGAAGGGGGAGTGGGAGTGGGTAATATGTATAATTTTGTGTGTGTGGGGGAAAGCATAATTTTTTTTCATGTCACTCTCTATAAAGCATTGCACCTAATTTTATATGCTCCCAACTTACCTTTTCATTTTTCTTATCTGTCTCTAATGGCTGCTTAGCTGTTACACTTCGAGGAGTTCGGACAACTTCCTCCTCAGCCACTTCAATAGTCCGTCCATTTGGCTGCAAAAAAAAAAAAAAAAAAAAAGACGCTTGTTATCAAATTGCTTGGCAGATCAAACCAAAGATTTGAACTCAGAAAAAAGAATAAAATAAAATTTAATAAAATACAATAAAATTTCCCCCCCAACTCAAATGAAAGATTTCTGCCTGGCTGTAGTAACTTAGTTGGTTGAGTGTCGTCCTGTGCACGGAAAGGTCACTGGTTCGATTTCCAGACAGAGCACATCCTGGGTCTCGGGTTTGACCCCCCATTGGGGCATGTATGGAAGGCAACTGATGGATGTTTTTCTCTCTAAGCATGTCCTTGGTTTAGGATTAAAAAAAAAAAAAAAGATTTTTGTATAGCTATGTTATGTAATACTTGATAGACCATTTACTAACCTAATAACTGTGTTTTATAATATAACAATAAATTTATAAACAAAATTCTGTACCACGAATCTATTTTCTGACCTCACCCAAGTATCAGTCCCTTGAACAAAAAATAATAAAAAGCAGGAAAAAGAATTCAACTATATTTGCACTCTGACCACTAATCACCAGTGTAGTCTCAGAATATTTCACTCATTATCCTTTTTTCTACATCTATAAAATGATAGATCTGATCTATCCTAAAGCCACCCAACTTTTTCAGTAAGGGGCCAGACAGAGCCATAGATGGCACATGAATGAATGAGTATGACTATGTCCCTCCAAAACACGGGTGGAGGCCAGATCTGGTCCATAGACCATAGTTTGTTGGCTTCAATAATAGGTAATCCCTAATTACCTGTAATTGTAGAAAATTATCAGGATCTAGAGGCCTGGTGCACAAATTCATGCACCGGTGTGGTCCATCAGCCTGGCCTGCGGGATCGGGCCAAACCGGCCCTCTGACAACCCGAGCTGTCCGGGATTGCAAGAGGGCACAGGCCAGGCCACGGCACCCCACAGGTGTACTCGGGGCTGGGGAGGGATGTGGGAGGTTGGCCAGCTAGGGAGGGACTGTGGAAGGGCTCCAGGGCGTGTCTGACCTCTCTCACTCAGTCCTGATTGGCCAGACCTCAGCAGGAAGCTACCCTACCAGTCAGAGCATCTGCCCCCTAGAGGTCAGTGCACATCATAGTGAGTGGTTGAGTAACCTTAGCATATCATTAGCATATTATGCTTTGGTTGAACAAACGACCAGACCACAGGACACTTAGCATATTAGGCTTTTATTGTATAGGATATGCAATTGGAAAAAAGAGACCATTAATACACTAAAGCCCAATTTATAAGCTTCCCTAAGACTTATAGCAGAAAAAAAACAAAAAAACAAAACAAAAGCTGTCTTTTAGATGATTAAATTCCTAATTGATCCAAATTTAATCTGCTGGATCATAAGCAACATTAATAAAAGCCCTAGGATTTTAGAGTCTTCTTTTGGAGGAAAGCCAGCTCTTCAATTGTTTACAAGGTAATTTGATTTGTAAAAACTCTGTGTATGTGGGTGTTACCCCTTTAAATCTTGGCTAATACAATCAGACAGACAGAAAGCGTGAGTGAGGACCATTTTTTCTTGCATCTACACTGGAATCTAAGCACCAGACTGTAACTGCGTTAGGTCTGTCAAATAGATGCATTTTAAACAACTTGTTAAAGTCAGACAGCTAACGACACAACCAGGTCTCCTCACTCTTCCTTCTAATTTTCTTTCTTCTGTGCTCTTTTACCATTTCAATGCTGCCTCTTCTAATCTCTGAGTATATGTATGTGGGAGGGTATTGGAATTGGGAGGAGAGGCAGCGCACAGAGAAAGGTAAGAAGCTCCAAAAAGGAGTTTGAACTTAGAGCCATATCCACATCAGGAATATATATATCAGGAATATAAAACTATAATTCTGCTTCCCAATAGTATCTTACTTGTCAGTTTTCATGCTATTTCTCAGTTCCTACTATCCTCTCTAGTCAAGCCTACTTTTTCTGATTTTCTGTGATCAGCTTTGACAACTGAACTGTCTTGCAGCTCCAACTGAAGTTTCCCATCCATTTACTGGCAGCTCACAAAACTTACATCTGCAAACACTTCATTTAACTAATCCCTTCAGGAAACTTTTCATCATAGTCACTTATATAGCACCTCCATTTCACTCATGACAATGACTGCACTGAATCATTTAAATTTACTTACTAACTGCTAAAAGATGAGAAATTAGGTGGTTAAAAACTATCTTAACCTATTAAAATATTCAATGCAATTCCTTTGAGAAAAACTGTGAACACTGTTCTTTCAGCTTCCCAGGTAAAAGATGAAACAATCTTTCCTTTTAAACAAATATCAAGTCTGAAGTACTCAATCAGTGAAAAGCAGCGGGCACACTGTTTCCATCTCATAGGCCCTGGAATGATAGGCAAGCCAAAACTGTGCCAATTTTACTTTCTTCTTTGCAACATCAACTCATGTAAAGGCTATAAAAAGAGTGGGACAAGACTGTTCCACAAGTGTTACCATAGCTCATGTGGAAGCACTGGGCTGTGAAAATGTTAAAGAACTGAAAAAAGATCACTATAGTTGGAGGTAGCAAATGAGAGGAAACTATTGCAAAATCCGCTTAGAAAGAAAAGGAGATGCTAGGCCATATACAAAAGAAGTTTAGATTTAAAATGCAAAAGCTATCGAAATGTTGGTTTTAAACAAGATCAGGTGATTTGTTTTTAAAGACTCCTTATTAGAGTGCTGAGAAAGGATTGGAGGCAGTCAACAGAAGCTACTAGTAAGCTGAAGTGACAGACAGTAAAATAAGTAGTCAAATCGAAAATATATTTTGGAGGTAAAATTGATGGTACTTGCTGATGAATTAAATTATGAGAAGAAGACATGAGGATGTGGAGAAATGGGAAGAATCAAGAATGATTCTGAGTTTTGGCAGGAAATTATGAATTGTTCTGGAGATGTTAAAATTTGAGACAAATGTCAGCTTTCCAACTGAAGATACCAAGTACACATCTAGACATTAAGTTTGAAGATGAGAGGAATGGTCCAGTTACAAGTATTGACTAATATACAGTTGATCCCCATTATCAGTGAATTCCATACAGGCAAATTTGTCTACTCCCTAAAATTTAATCCTAACCCCAATATTTGAGGTGCTTTCCTGATCATTTTGTAGACACACACAGAGCTTTAAAAATAAAAAAAATCTGAGTCACCCTACAGGCAACACTCTGCCTTTTTGTTTTAGCTTTCATGAAATATAAAAATTAAACACATGAAAAAGACTAACTCTAATTGGGGAGCTAGGAAAGGCTTTATAGTAGAAGTAGCACTGTAATTGGGCCTTTTTGAAGGATAGGTAGAAATTGGTAGAGACACTAAAAGAAGAACCTTTTAATAGAAGAAAATAATATAAATAAAGAGATGCAGAAGTCTAGCAATTAATGGTCTTGCCTGTGGGGGAAGAGTAAGAGATGAGACAGATCATGAAGAGGCTTGAGTGCCATGACATGGGCTGGATTTTATTCAAAAGGTGATGGGGAAACTACTGAAAAGATGTGAACATGAAAGTCACATGATTACAGTTGGGCTTTAAAAAATTTAACTGACATGAGTGGGTACAATGGATGGCAACAGAAACTGAAAGCAGGAAAACTAGTTAGGATCTGTTAGGACAGTCGAAGCAAAAGGTAACAAAGCCCAAATATAGGGTAGTAGCAGTGAAACTGGAAAGGAAATAATAACTATAAAAGATACTGCATACTATTAGAATGATCTATTGGGTACAGATAGATGGACCTTACAAAATTTTAACCCGATGAGGCAAAAAGATGGTTCATATGACTGTTTACCAGGCATGAGGAATAGGAATAATTGTTAAATGCCACTTATCTGAGATCTCACATCCATCTAAATAACTGCTCAGATTAAGTCAAATTCTTACTGAGTGCCTGTTTAATATTGACACTGTCATGGAAAATGCATGTAAGATAACAATGATTTCCAAAAATACCATGAACTAAGCCCAGTGAAAAGAGCCACCCCCTTCACTTTTAAATAAACTGTAATTTATGCCCCAAGAGACCTATGGTAAGATATTAGAAGACAAAAACCAACCTAATATAAGAATTAAAAAACAAACAAACACCCCCCCCACTCATGACTCTAAAAATAAAAACAACCTACTAAAAATAAATTCTGAAAATGTGTTGCAAAATTTGGAATGATTTAAGAGAAAATTAAAAATAATGGGGAGGGGGAGAAAATAAAAACTGGTTTACATAACTAAATCCACTTGAAGTATACCCTAAAATGCCCATCAGAATGACACAATAATAAAGAAATGGATAAGATTAAATCTGAGTAAATTTAGAAACCTCTTATGCTATACAGTTCTTATGGCCCTATTCCAATGAGTGATTTTCAAACTAACAGGCAAGGATTTGTCAAGGGGGCTTGTTAAACATGCAGATTTCCTGGATCCATTCATAAAATTCGAATTTATAAGATCTGTGGAGAGGCTCAGGAGCCTACAAATGTTAACAACCATTCAAAGTGACTACTACAAGTAATCAGGGGTTAACACTTTGAGGAATCCTGCAGTGTTTTAACTTAACTAAGACCTTGAATTTATAAACAAGATAAGCTAAACAGAGCAAGGTTAAATGCCTTACTCAAGTTTAGAGTTCCCCATCTCTGCCAGGCTGACAGAGCTGGGCCTTTGCTGATTCTTCAGCCTCTCCCACTATCCTGCTCCTACCCACTTTCAAAGTCAAACTCTGTGACTATCTTTCTTTCACTGCCTCCTGGGCCCACAATGGGGTTGCACTGTTAATTTTTCTGAGTATATCTTTTTCACAACTGGAGTCAAAAGCTCCCCAGGGAGAAACCGAGCTTTTACTCTTGTATCCCTTCAAAGAGAAATATCAATACTGTGTTCCTTTTCACAGGAATTTGCAAACAGTATCCTGCTTTTGTCCAAAGTGTATGAGTACTTAAAAAAAAAAGAAAAAAAAGAAAGAAAAAAAAAAAGAAAAGCAATTTCTACTTCTTAGCCCTATAAAGCAGTGTTTTCTAATTGTAGGTCATGTCTTATAGTCACACGTGAAACCAGTTTAGTGGGTCACAAATATCATTAAAGAAAAACAAACAGAATAGTTAGATATGTGTATGGGAGGGAGCTGTAATGTAAATATATTTCTTAGTAGGTTGCAGTCAATACAGTTTGAAAGCCAAAAGTTTGTAAACATTGACAAACTCCGAGACTCACTTTTTTAGACAGGCAAAGATATTTTTTCACCCAATTAACATTCAACCATTTGTTTTTTCTTCCCATTCTCCACTTCCCAACGCTGACAGATCTGTTTCCTCATTCCCCCTTCCTTTATTTAATGAGAAGGGATATGCCCTGGGTCTGATGCGCTTTTTCACAGGAGCCTGTGTTCTTCAGATGAGTCATGTGAGTGTTACAATGCTCTCTAGACGGACTCTGGAAGCACCTGTCTCTAAAGGCTGGTCTATCTGCAATTTTAGGCGTCCCAACAGGGCTTTGAGATTTTCACAACCCGCCTCGTCCACACAGGGATGAGGCTTATTAGTACATGCGGGTGTTTTTTTCAAGATCATCTTTCTTCAACTTGGGGTCAGATTCTCTATTTCCACCGTAACCTTACTTTCTGGTAATCCTTGATGTCCTCTACAAATTTAAATATAGCTACATATGCTCCAAATAAGTACTATTTTCTTTTCTATTACTTAAGTTAGTATTGCTACTGACAAAGCTGTACCCCTTTCTAGGTTGTGTATGTCTCTGGCACTCTCTTAATCAGCATGCAAAATGTTAATATTTATCTAAGCCTAACAACGCCCTGTGACCTGTCAGGTCTCTAATACAGCTTACTCTTTGTACTATCATTACTTTAGTTTGAATTCAAATCCCACTTCCCCTAATAGTAACTTTCCTAAATCCTTCCCCAGGAATTAGTTCCCACCCTCCAAACCTCATTAACACCGCTCACATGTACACTGCACCGGTCCATTTGTGCAATATTAGAATTATGAACCTGTCTCCTACATTAGTCTCCATGATTGGCTCTAAAATCTCGATGTATATAGATAGCTCCTACTGTCCCCCAAACACCAGAGTGAATTTCACATAGGAGTGAGGGCCTTGGCTACATCTGCTTTATTGCATTTGAAAAGGTGAAGAGCTTAATTCAAGTGGACATAAACACAGGCTAGGAGCTGGTTCTAGTTCTGTACACCCCTTCATGCTCTTATTGCTCCGCTGCAAAGTATTTTAAAAAAATATATTTTATTGATTTTGCACAGAGAGGAATTGAGAGGGACAGAGAGTTAGAAACGTCGATGAGAGAGAAACGTCGACCAGCTGCCTCTTGCATACCCCCAACTGGGGATTGTGCCCGCAACCAAGGCCCATGTCCTTGACCGGAATCGAACCCGGGACCCCTCAGTCCGCAGGACGACGCTCTATCCACTGAGCCAAACAGGTCCCGGCGTGCAAAGTATTTTTAAAATAAGTAAAACTGTGTAACGTCTCATGGAAGCAGCAGCACGGGGGAAACGGCGATAATAACGAATGCAGACATAAAACCCGAGGAGGCATGATTTCAGACGGAGGTGATGCTCCCCGCCTTTCTGCACGTGGTAAGTCGGAGCCCGGAAACCTGTCAGCCTCAGCCCGCACCATTCTGCCCCGTCATCCCCCCAGTCGCCTCTCATTCCTAACCCTCCGCGCGCCACTTTCTGGCTGAACTTGCCTCCGCCGTCTCCTTAGGGCCGCGCACCCCAAAGTGCATCCATCAGCCCGCCGGCCCCGTCCCTCTCGCCCTCCCTCCCGGCCCGGCCCCCGGCGGCCCCCGGCCCCAGGAGCCAGCGCGCAAAGGGCAACCATTTCCCTCCAACAGTTCCTGCGGCTAAAATGGAAGCGCCTAGACCCGGGCACCTTTTGGTCCTCGGAAGCCCCGCAGAGTTTTGATGGGTCCCCCGTATTTCCTTCCTTCCGGGACCTGAGCTAGCGGACATCGTCTGCCCAGAACTTCCCACCGGAGGGTCCCGTCCCGCCCGCAGCCGCCCCGCGCGCAGGCCTCGCGGCCCCCGGAGCGGCTCGACCTCCTCGGGGCCGCGGTCCTTACAACAGACCCCGGGCCGTCCAGCTTCCCTCCCCGAGGCTGTCTCACCCACCCGGCCCACGCTTCCCGAGTTTCCCCCATCCGATCGCCCCCAAGGACCGTGCCCACCCGCCGCCCCTCCGGGAGCCCCGCGTCCCGGCTGGCGTCCGACCCCGCTCTTCCCTCCCCAGTCCCGGCCGGAGCCCCGCTCGCTCGGGGTTGGGGGACCCCCCTCGCCCTCCTCCCCACTTACTTTGGGCTTCTCGGGCAATTTCTTGCGGTTCTTCTTCTTCTGTTCGTCGCCCCGGAGGCTCTTGAGCAAGGCCAGGTCGTCGGGGGCCGGGGCCGGGGCCGGGGCCGGGGCGGGCGCGGCGGCCGCCTCCTCGCGCCGGCGGGGCGCGCTCCTCCGCTTCCTCCGGGCGCCGGCGCACGCCGCGGCCCAGCCGCAGCCCAGCAGCCCGAGCAGCAGCAGCCCCAGCGCGCCCGTGCCCGCCAGGATCACCCAGCCCGGGTACCGCCTCGGCTCCAGCCCCAGGTCCAGGCCCAGCTCGGTGCGCAGGAAGCCCAGGCCGAGCGACAGCATCTCCCGCAGCCGCGCCGAGCCCTCCTCGGCCTGCCGGGCCAGCTCGTCCTGCCAGCCCCGTGCAGCCATCTTCCCTCCCCGTCAGAGGGGCCTCCTCGAGGGATGGAGGACGCCGGGGCGCACGACGCCGCCGCCCGCCGGGCGAGAGTCAAGGGAAGCGAAGACAGGGCCCGGCCGACGACGGCGGCCTCAGGCCGAGCGCATCGCAGCCGCCCCTCGCGCCGGAGCCGGCGGCGGATCGGCCGTTGACGCCACCGGGAGGGAGGTGAGGGGGGCTCCCAACTGCGCCCCCCCGGCGCGTCAGCTTCGCTCCGCCACCGCCGGCGAGGAGGAGGGGGGGTGCGGCGGAGGGAGTGTCTCCAGTGGCGGCCGCTAAGCGGCGTCCGGGCGCCAGTGCCAGGCCGGGCTGACCTCCCTCGGCGGAACAATGGCGGCTTCGGCCGCGATCCAGCCGCGCGCGCCGGAGTGGAGGGGCGAGGGGCGCGGGTCACGTGGGAGGCGGTGGGCGGGACGGAGTGACGTAGGCGTGGGCGTGGCGAAGTCGGGGCGGGAGCCGTTGGGCGAGGGCGGTGTGACGTAGGCGTGGGCGGGGCGTCGCGGGTCGGGGCGGAAGCCGTTGGGCGAGGGCGCTCCTGTGGCTGTCCGAGGCGACTCTTTCGGGACCTGGAGGAGGGAGTCGGGCCCGGGGACCGGTGTCGGAGGGGGGCCCGGGAGGGGTTAACTGGAGGAAGCCTTGGCGGGTGGCTGGTGGCTCGGCGCTGGGAGACGTGGCGCTGTGACAGGCCAGGGGGCGGGGCTCCCGGGGAAGGGGGGCGGGGACAGGGTGGAGGGAGAGGGGAGGAGGGTGCAGAGTGAGCCGCTGGGTTGCAGGGTTTCAGGGTTGCAGGGTCTAGGACTCGAGGTCAAAGTCTCCCCAGCAGAGTAGGTTTGCTTCGTTCTGATTCGGGGAGTGGTGCCCTAAAGGGAAAAGGATGTTTAATGGGTGTTTTCCCGGAGTCACCGGCGGGCTAGCCGCTCCCCAAGGGGCCCAGCGGAGCCTGGGGCCGGGCACGCAGGACCGGGCCTGGGTTTTAATTCACAAAACCGGTGTTTCTGCTCGGGGCCTGCACCCTGCGGGCTCAGGGCGCTTCCCGCGTCGTCGTTCTCCTCATTCATTCTCGCTCTGGCTGCTGTTACTCCCCGAGTTCAAAAGCTCGTGGGCGGCACTGTGTTCCTACTAATTTATAGCTTTAATTAGAAACAAGAGAATCACATTAGATGGTGTTGACACGTAGAAGTAGCTTCCCGGTTGCACCTGAAGCTTCTGTACAAGACCACACAGGAGTTGTAAAAAAAAAAAAATTCTATTTGTATAAACTGTGTTGAAGGATAAGGAGGAAATGAATTAACCTTTTCAGATTTTAATTACAAAGGTGATGCTTTGGGATTACATTAGGTTTTTTTTTTTAATTCCATTCAATGATAATTAGCATGTAAAAAGGGTCTTAAGTGAGCTACATAAAATACAGGCTTTCTCAAAGACTAAGAAGACCTTGAATGCCAAAAAAATGGATGAGAGAGTAGTTTGACCTACTTGGCAAGTGCTGTAATGCGTGTTGTGATTAATGGTGGGGGTTTGGTAAATAAAATAAATTACTGCCCTGGCTGGTGTGGTTCAGTTGGTTGAGTCTCCCATACACCAAAGGGTTGACAGTTCGATTCCTGGTCGGGTGCTCGGAGGAGGCAATTGATAGGTGTTTCTCCCTCTCCCTTCCTCTCTCACTGTAAGGTCAATAAAATTTAAAAACAAACTTTAAAAAATTACTGCTAAGCTTTATATACACTTATAATTAGACTTATATTTAAAGACTAAAACTTACAAGGCTCAAAACTTAGATGTTATCAGGATCTGCTTTTAACTCTAAAAGGCTCCACATTTTATTTGTGTTTATGAAATTCGGTTTGTCAGCCTACATTTATGTTTTGTTTTCAGAGACTGATGCTGTTGCTAAGAAGTTCCACTGCCCATTTTGTAATTGGGGCAGGGTGTGCGTGTTGGGGGTGGGTAGCGGGGAGGGGGTCCTTGCCCTCACCTGTTGCTTGTGGGAGTGGAATTCTTCTATATCCCAGAAAAAGCATTTTCTGAGGCTTGCGAGGGAGGGTGAAATATTGAAGAAAGCTTTATTTCTGTGGAATTACTCCCCTGAGTTTCCGTGGCTCCTTCCCTTTGTCCCACCAAGGGAGAAGTGTGCTGTGGCTGGGATAGGGCTGAAACAAAAGCCAGTGTGCGGGCAGAGGCCACTCCTGCGTCAGGCTAATTTGTGTTCCCAACTGCAGGCCATCGGCCCATTGCATGTGGGGTCTGCATGGCTGTGGGAGCCGAGAGAGAGAATTCCTTTCGCAGGGGGGTGGGGAACCTTTTTCTGCCAACGGCCATTTGGATATTTATAACATCTTTTGTGAGCCACACAAAATGATCAGCTTAAAAATTAGCCCGCTGTATCTGGTCAAACATTTAATTAATTCGCCCCTAATACTTTGGCAGGGCCAGACGTGGGCCTTTTGTGGCCCATGTGCCAGACGTTCCCCACCTCCGGTTTAGCGGATTATGTACTCTCAAATTGTAGGGGCTTGCAGTGGGCCATGCTCGTTCTGGCCAAAGATCTCTGTTCCCAAGTGTGACTGACAGACACCTCTGTAGTCACTCGAACTTCACTGAGCTTATTTCCCCTTTGTTGGGTCCCATCCCCCAGTGTTCTGCAGGGGATGGGCTGGTGGTTCCCTGGGAAGTGCAGAGTTGCAGCTGGAGGGCAGTTGGGGGCGACAAGACCTGCAGAGGAGGGAAGTTGAGGGAGACCAGGCCTGCAGGGGAGGGCAGTTGGGAGTGACCAGGCCAGTGGGGGAGGGCAGTTAGGGGCAATCAGGCTGGTGGGATTGGGCCTAAACAGGCAGTAGGACATCCCTCGAGGGGTCCCAGATTGGAGAGGATGCAGGCTGGGCTGAGGGACGCCCCCCCCCCCCCCCCCACCCCCACACACCAGGCCTCTAGTATTTAATAAAACTACAAGGCATACCTTGGAGATAGTGTAGGTTCAGTTCCACACCCCCCGCAAATAAAGCTAGCATACCAATAAAGCAAGTCATAGTCTTTTTGCTGCTAGTGGAAGGCAAGATCTTCAATTTGTAAAAATGGCAACATCTGAGAAGCTGCCATAAAGTGACGTACCATAAAATGAGTTATGCCTGTACATCTATAAGGAGCTTTATCTGCACCTGATTCAGATAATGAGATTCTGGATTTTGGGCAGATACTGTAGTGAGATGAAACTCGTAAAGGCCTTCGGAGAGGCTGAATGTGATCTGCATGTGGGAGTGATGTTAATTACTGGAGATTAGAAAGTGGACTATGGTAGGCATTTCCAAGATGGCCCTTAAGACCCCTGCCTTTTGGTATTTATGGCTTTGTGTAATCCCATCCCCTTCAGTAGCTTGCTTCTGTGAACCAGTAGAGCTTCACCATTGAGAGAAGTCATTTCTGTGATCAGGTTACAGAAGATTCCGACTTCCACCTGGCTAGCAGACTTCCTCCCTTGAAGGCTTTGACAAAGCAAGTTGCCATGTTGGAGAGACATATGTGACAAGAAACAGAGGGCAGCCGGGCTGGCATAGCTCAGTGGATTGAGCAGCATTCCATGCATCAAGAGGTTGCTGCTTCAATTCCTGATCAGGGCATACGCCCAAATTTTGGACTCAATCCCTAGTAGGGTGGATGCAGGAGGCAGCTAATTGATGTTTCTGTATCTTCTTTCCCTCTTCTTTCCTCTCTCTCTTGAAAAAATTAATAAAACTATATTTAAAGAAAAAAAAAAAAAAGCTGAGGGCAGCCAGTGAGGATCAACCTATGAGCCAGGAGGTCACAGTTAGATTCCCAGTCAGGGCACATGCCTGGGTTGTGGGCTCCATCCCCAGTGGGGGGCGTGCAGGAGGCAGCCGATCAATGATTCTCTCTCATCATTGATGTTTCTCTCTCTCTCTCCCTCTCAGAAATCAATAAAGATATTTTAAAAAAGAATGTTATATATGTATATGTACAGATATATACATATATATTTATATATAATACATATACATATATACATATATACATATATACACATATACATATATATATACATATACATACATATATACATATATATGTATTTTCACTGACATGAAAAGCCACTGGTAAGTGAAAAATTATCATGCTTAGTATTAGTTTATTAAAACTTTAGAATGTGTATATTTATAATATGTATATGCATATATAGGGATAGAGACAGGCATCTGGAAAAGTATTCCCCCAAGTTTTTACTCCAGTTTACAAAACAAATAGCCATATAAGAACTAGAATTTTGTTTCCTCCCACTTTTAAAATATATTTTATTGATTTTTTTACAGAGAGGAAGAGAGAGGGATAGAGAGTTAGAAACATCGATGAGAGAGAATCATCAATCAGCTGCCTCTTGGGGATGTGCCCGCAACCAAGGTCCATGCCCTTGACCGGAATCGAACCTGGGACCTTTCAGTCCACAGGCTGACGCTCTATCCACTGAGCCAAACCGGTTTTGGCTCCCCCACTTTTTAAATATACTCTTCTGAATTTATTTTATATAAAAATGTATCATCCTTTTAATCAGAATAAAATAAGGTTGTTGCTTTTTTCTTTGTTGAAATTTTACCTACAGAGTAACCTTGCAGCACATTCTATAAGGACGCTCAAACACCACAGAGACAGAATGGCACAGCTGTGCCTGTTTGCCCCAAAGAAGCTGTTGAGTGTTGGTGACATTTTAAGTCTGAACAGTGGCTAATGTTACAAGTGAGTTATAAACACCGAATTATACAAAATCATTTCTGGACCAGGTAAAGCTGAAGCAGGGGAACTGTTTTATATATTACACATTCAGACTTCACACAGGAGCAGGGACACCAAAGGAATCTGTTCAGAGAGGCCACCTCTGTCTTCGGAAATACTCTTTTCTTCTTTCTAAAATAAATTTTTAGTACTCTTTTGAAAATGGGAAATAAGCTTATTATAGACCCACAGAAAAGTTTCTCCCCAGAGGATAATCATTTGGGGGCAGTGATATACTGTATGAGTTAGTACAATTTAAATTTAAAATGCTGTCCTGGGAAATGTCTCCTAAGAGTTGTAATCTTTCAGTGGCATGTTTCATCGAAGTCCACTTTGCAGGATAGTGCCACTACTAAAATTGAAGGTATGCCATTCGTGAGCTAAGGGTCCAGTTACATTTCAAGATGTATTTCTGAACCTGTGAAACTTTTATTACTAAGAGGGAAACTGCTTTAGAAGTTGCTAAGCAGTTGGAAGAGAGAGGGGAAAAACAACATAAAAAATCATTTGAGGCCCAATATTTGTAAAAACAAGTATCTCTCCTAGTGGCTGAGCACAAAAGAAAGAAACAGGTGTCATTGCCGGGAAAGACCAGGT